TGTTCAGTGATTCTGGTTGGTTTGGTTATAATTGGGTAAAAAGAGGAGGTAAAAAGTTGCTCACTAAACCTATTAGCAATATCACAGGTTTCTGACTGAAGTAAGTCTATATTGAAATCTCCCATAAGATAACAGATTTTGTTTTCTCGATCAATTTTATTCAATAAATCATTCATTGCATTTTCAAATATTTCAATTTTGTTATTTGGTGGTCTATAAACTACTGCAATAATAATATTTTCCCCTACGGTTGTGCATATTTCAATGCAAACACTTTCAATGATATCTTCAATATTTGTGGTTAGGTCCTCACGTTTTTTGCGGTTTATATGCTCTTTAATATATATACCAACTCCCCCTCCTTTTTTAGTCTCCCTATTTAATCCTATATAGTCATATCCTCCTAATTTATAATATTGTTCACAGTCATTATTGCTAAGCCATGTTTCAGTAAGACCTATTATGTTTACATTCTTGATTAGTGGTTCAGTTAAATATTTAAAGCTATCAAATTTGTTTCTTATACTTCTTATATTTAGATGCATTATAGAAAATGCATTAGATAAATGGAAATGTTTTTCAGATTTTGTTATAAACTCCGTTGGTAAATAATAGTTGCAGTCTATTTCGTTAATGTTGAGAGATTTATCAAGATTTGTGTTATGTTGGCTGAAAGCTACATCGTTATTTGTCTGGAAAGGGTTAAATTTCAAATCATTTAGTTTGTCTACGTTTATGTTATTGAATTTAGACGATGGATTGCACTCGAAACAAGTGCGGAATATATGATTAATATCCTGAGATGAAATTAACTGCGAGTCAGGCATATCAGGAAATTATTTCAAACATTCTTTCACAGCGTGAAACCATTTATGACACATGTTGCACTCGGAAATATTATTTGAAATTAATTCAAAACAGGATGAACATGTTTTTATCGCGTTGTTTACGTTTGATTTTTCAGTAGTCATTGTTAACTATCAAGAAAAGTTTAGTTTGTTAATAAGAATTAAAGTATTCAAATTGTATGACTTGTATAAAAGTAAAAGTTAATAAAGATATAAAACCTGTTTAATATGATATTTGATTATCCCCTGAACAATTCACCATTGATAAACAGTTTGTCTCTGACAAGAGTAGCTTTTAGATTGTTACGTCTTGCCTTTTTAAATTCTGGGTAAAGCCTCTTCCTTTCTCTGACAATTTCCTCGGGAAATTGCTCAGAAATTCCGATTCTGCTTGCCGTATCTTTTAGCTTCTTTGCATTCCGCATGATTGAAACTTTATCCTGATGAAAATTGAACTTTGCGACAATTGGTCGCGCTTTGGTTTCACCCCGTTTCTTTTTTCCCAAGCGATGAGAACGGTCGATTTTTATTTTCATAGCAGCGTCCTCGAACCCAAGCTTTTCTTCCAACAGCTTGTGAATCATTGCTGTGGTGTTTTCATCGTTTTCTTCAGGCATGTTGTAAAACAGCAGATTGTCGCGCATTGACCTCGCTTTAAGGTCAATGACGCTGTACAATAATGTTACGTTGTCGGCTTCAAGTTTGTTGATGCGTTCGGTTGTTTCTCTCTGAACTTGCGCTTTTTTCTCATTTTCCTTCTTCAAATCGTCTATTTCGCTATGAGCGTATTCGATAGATTTTCTTACTTCTTTCAATTCCGTCTGTATATTTTCCATGATTTTCTTGGATGATATCCAATTTGTCCATCTTCTTGCTCATACCAGATATCAACTCAAATATATCTTGTAGTTTGACTTCGCTTCCGAAATTTTTGTTCATTTCCTTCTCTGTACCCTTATCTTCCATTTTTGTGTTCTGATTAGACTTGCTGGGCGTTTTTTTCAAAGAATTATTTGTATTTTGCGCACTGCGCCTTGAACCTTGTGTTACCGATTCTTGTCTATTGGTCTTTTTGTCAAGGGAGAAAAACTCGTACCACAACCACAGAGTATTATTATTTATTCTGTGACCACAACACGCGACAGAACGCGTAAACATAGATCTGATTCAGTGTTGCATGCCTGATAAAATTCATTGTTTACATATTTTTTTATACTTACGGACTGTTATATAGGTTATGAGCTAGAGTTATGAGCAGAACTGATGCGCAGGTCTTGACATGGTCTTTAAGTTTTTGGTTTGTTATTTTCGGCTTTGTACATATGGTAAGTTCACTTCAGTATAGTAATAACGGCTAGTTAAACTAGCCGTTATTACTATAAGTGAACTTACTTAGGGTAAAGACCATGTCAAGTCTGTTCTGCGCATCAGTTCTTCTCATAACAAGTGGGCACATAGATATAAACATTGCCCAAATTTTGCATCTTTCGAACTTTTTTGAATTGAAACGTACTCTAGTTTATATTCATTTACAATTGCGAACCAGAGAAGTGTTAGATATTCAGTTAGTATGTTTTATTTTACAAATATAGCAGTTCAAAATGTAAACAAATAATTTGTTTACATTGCGAACAATACGGCTTTATACAGTAAATCAGTAATACCAAATACATCAATTTAAAAAATATATAATTTAATATCCTCACGGCAACGTGAAATAAAAATAGCACATGTTAATTGGAAAGCCGTGTAATTGTACAGTACTCGGTACAGTAGTGAAAGTAGTATAAAGTCGCTGAGAATGTTAGAATACGCTAGCGAGTAGTGTAGAATTGATCTTAGAGAGTTTGAGCAAGAGAACGAAGCTAGTCGGACGACGACAACGTAGTTGACAATTTTTGCCTGTCTTGCGCATTATCTTGCGCATTCTGAGTTTAGAGTCAGGGGTGAAGACAGGTTAGAGACTCATACCTAGCTGTTTAAGAATGCTGTCCCAAATCCTTACCATCAGTCAGGACAAAACAGCGAGACATAAGTCCATATCCAGTCTTCGTTCTTCTGCCTTCGTTCACAACGAATATTTTGGCAAAATTCGACGTAAACTTCGTAATGCACGAAGGTAGAAGAACGAAGACGGAATATAGTTTCATGTCTCGCTGTTTTTTCTGGGTCAGGCCAAGAATCAGGGTCAGTATTCATAAACAGCGACACATGGGAAGACAGATTGAGCAACCACCAGTGACGTCCAACTCAGTATGCGCAAGATAATGTGCAGATGGGAAAATTGTCAAGTACGCCTTCGTCTTCGTACTTCGTTGTCTTGCTCAAACTCTCTCTTGACGTGCGTATAGACTGTATAGTCGCTGATGAGTCCATATGTTCGAATTATAAACTATTTTCAGAAATACTTTTTATGAAATACTACAATAATATATTGATTTACACAGGGACGCCGGAACTGGGGGGCAGGAGGGGCAGCCGCCCCCGTTGCCCTTTACCAGGAGGGACAAGGGGGGGGGCAAAGGTGCCCTTTCAATTTAAAGGATTGCCTTAGCGAAATAGCGAATTGTCAGAAATGTTAGTGCAATTCTTTTACGAATTTGCTTCAGAAAACGCAAGAAATGCAGTCATCGAGCTTCAAGAATAGCACAATCGTGTGGTGGAGAACCCCCTCACACCCCTATCATCCAATAAATAGAAAACATGATTAGGCGAAGTTCAACTCCCGATGTTTTGGAAACATCTCTTAGTATACATCAATTAAAAAGTGCCCTTTCACGAACATCTGCCCCCTTGCCTTCACATCGTTCCGGCGTCCTTGGATTTACACATGTATTCATAAAGTAC